GCTGCATGCAAGCATTTAAAAATTTAATTATTTGGTCATTGAACATGAAGTCTGAAGTATTCCTTGAGAATAAAAGAAAAGGTCCAAAGCAATCCCAAAAATTACCCCAGGAAATTACCAGACTCTGGGCTTTTATGTATGAACTCTGGCAACCCCCTGCTCTAGCTGTAGGAAGAAAAGAAGTGTAGTGTTTTAAATTAAGTGTTATAAATATAACCAGGGTGTTTGTTTTATTTAGATTTTCCTCTAAGTTTAATAAACAAATTTGAAGCATTCAATTAAAGATGCAGAAAATATGCAAGAGAAGTACAACTAATCCCATTAAATGTAAAATGACACATAAGTAGAAAGCTTTTGTTGTTGAATCCCTGCTGATAAGAAACAGAAGAGATGTTTAAGGAAACCTTGGAAACTAGGTAGTAAATGACATTTATCCTTGGTCTGAAATGCCTCAATATACGACTTAGTCAGTACAGTTGAACTGTGACCTTCCAGCCTGCCAATACAGATAAACACACATGTTCTCAGGTAAATCATGCAGAAGAGACATTTCCTGAGGACTAGAGAAGCCCCACTTGTAGGAAATGATGGTTATTAACTCATTAGATTCTCTGTGTCTCTGTCTCTTTGTATGCAAACTCTCCACACAGCTGTAAGGATAATTCGTTTTCTTTGTTTTAGTAAGTATTCAGGAGTATTAAAATGCTTCGTTTGTATGGACAACAACCATATTCAAGGGCTGGGACGAAACCAGACATAGGTGCAAGCAAACCCCCACAGTCTGACAGAATCCTGCTTCCAGAGTAGGTGGAATGGGTTTGTGTGTTTGGATGCATGAAGTCAGATGTTTTTGTGACAAATGCTACTGGCTTCATCTGGTGAGGTGACTTGCCAAGTCAGAACCAGATTAAAAGGTCGTTTTCCTGCTCTGAATTAGAGTTCAGTAGTGCAGATGTGGATCTGCACCCCATTAGTCTGGCAAGAGGTTTCATACAGGAGATTCTTTACCTCAGGTGTACCCTGGATTGTTGCACATTACTGTATTTGTGTGGTCAAATGGATAACATCAAGTCACTGTCATTGTCCCATGTCCTGTGTTCAGCCTAATAAGTTGATCCAAGGACTGGAGCATCTGTCCAGGAAAGGCTGAGAGAACTGGGATTGCTCAGCCTGGAGAAAAGACGCTTCAGTGATGGGTTTTCTCTTTGAGCAGGTCTTAGAGGATCTATCATACCTGAGAGAGTCTAACTACTTCAAATGGTATAAAATTAGTAGGATGACTTCTGAGGTAGTGTTGGAAACAGAAAAATTTTATTAAAGGGCAAAATAACAAAGTCCTTGTAGAGAAAACTTGAGCTAGGGGTAAGAGGTTCTTGCTCTTGCTAAAACACTCCACAAAAGCAATTATTTCCTTTGTTCTCATCTTTTTCTAGTGAATTATTTAGGTGGGACTTGTTGGCTTCTGTCTAATTGAGTAGCCTTAGGTTTGAGGTGAAGTCTTAAAGGTCTTATGAGGTGTCTTTTTACCAAATTGAGGAGATAAACATCTGGGCTTTTTTCCTTTTTAAGGAGACAAAGGATAATTTGGTCACTCCATCAACAGGAGGCACATTCCTACACTTCAGGGTGACCTAACTGCCTCTCCCAGCACCTGACAGGAATGCACAAGATGGAGAGAGACTATTTAGAAGGGCTTGGAGTGACGGGGGAAGGGGAATAGTTTCAAACCACAGAGAGTAGGTTTAGATCAGTTATTAGAAAGAATATAAGGTAAGTGTGGTGGGGGCCTGGCACTGGCTGCCCAGAGAAGCTGTGGCTGCCCCATCCCTGGAAGTATTTGAAGCCAGGCTGGATGGGGATTGGAGCCACCTGGTCTAGAGGAAGATGTCTCTGCCCACGGCAGGGGGTTGGAATTGGGTGAAACTTGGGGTCCGTTCCAACACAGGCCATTCTATCATTTTATGTTTCTGTGCTCACACCAAAGTGGCCCAGCCATGCCCTGCGGGTCCAGCTGTGCTGTGGTGGCCCTGCAGCCTGCAGAGTTCTCTCTCACCCTATAATCTTCAAAGGATTTTTTCAATTCTTCTTTGCTACAGGGTTCTCCCCAGCTAGAGCAAGGGTGGGTCAAACATGATTTGAGGTCACCTTCATCTGTCTTTTTCCTGCCAGGAACAGAAAAAGAGCATTGGGTCTGGGCCAGTGTTTGGAATGCATATTGTGTGGGCTTGTTGGGAGAAAGAGAGGATTTATTTGTCAAATAGGGCTTAATTTATTATGTGCAATAGGAAAGCTCACATTTTTGTATTGCAGCAGAAAGACAATTGATTAATAATTTGGAAAAAGGCCAAGACACACATTTTCCACCTTTGTAATTTATCAGCTCAGAGAAACAAAAATGATATAAAAGGTACCTGAACAAAATAATTTATTAAGCTGAAATGAAAGCTGGTTCATATTAATGCATTTATTATGAAAGGACTTTCTAGGACATTGTTGTTACTTACAGGAAACGTGTAAAAAATCTGAAGCTGATACTTAGGACCGTAGGAAATGTACAGAAAAGCTACCACTGATAAAACAGAGGAACTTTTACATTAATAATAACTTCAGAAAAGCTATTTGAGACTTGAGAGGTTAAAGTCACTAAAACAACATCAGCAGCTCCTGGAAAGAACATAAAGTCACAGCTTCTTCATCATTAAATACAATCTTAGGGGGAAAAGAAGTGTGCAGTGTCTACTAGTTCTTGATTAAATATCCCATTGTAAAAGCAGTCGTGTCATGTCCGTGTGCCATGGAGCTTCAGAGATGCCAGAGATTTCATGTGCCAGACCTCTTACACTGGTGGGTTCAGAGATGGTTCTGATGTGTTTTGTACACACATTTCTTGGGCTTTGTAACATGGACGTGCTGCATCACTACAGAAAAGTTTAAAACAGGAATCTGGTTTCCCAGCCTTGTTTTGCTGCCAGGCAGGAGAAAGGTTGTCAGGCAGCAAAAATATGTCTTTTCAGCTTTTGAACCTAAAAGCAGAGCCTTATGTCTGCATGCACCACACACCATTTATTTCATAAAATAGAAAATTTTACAAACAACATAACAGAAGATGAAGAATCATTAAAGACTAAGAAATACAGAAGCTGCTAAATTTAATACAGCATTCTTCATTGCAGCTGCAGGGGTACAGAGCAGCCAGTACCAGGTATTTGCTGGCAAAACGTTTTTGGCTTCTGTCTAATTGGGTAGCCTTAGGTTGGAGGTGAAGTCTTAAAGGGGCTCTCCCTCTAGAATGTGTGCTTTGTTTTCTCTTCCTGACCTCTTTAACCAGTAGGAGACCTTGAACTTCTCTGTTTCTTCTCACCCATCCAGTGTCCTCATCTCCTCTTCCAAAGGACATGGAATCCCTCTGAAATGGTTTTCCAGCACAGTTCCACCTCCTTCTTTACCCCAAACATCTTTGCCTCTTCAGCTGGACAGCTCTGATACATGATGCTGAGATTTGATCAGATCTGTGGTGTTGGAATTGTTTGTGTGGTATTGTGGATTTGTGTGTGGCTAGGAGAGTTACAAGGGTCCCATGTTTTGTTACTGCACTTTTAGGGTGTAGATAAGAAAGTTTTCATCTGATTTGAGGGCTTTAGCATCAGTGCATAAACACTGAGCTTTCCTCTGATCACAGTTGTTAAAACACTTACCATGATACATTAAAATAGATATGCTGCTCCTATTCAAAATTGGCAGTTATGTAAATTACAACAAATGTTCAAAGCATAAAAGGAAAGAAAACAACCAAGTCTTAAGGCTTCCTCTCACAGGAAAACCTAATTCTGTAGCATTTTATTTTGCTAGAAGTTTCTCCTTGTCAGAGCAACATACGCAAACATTTCAATCTGATTAACTCAATCAAATCAAAATAATGGAAACAAAACTTACTTCATCCTGCAAGCCTAAAACTAGGGATAGAAGTTCACTTTGTATTTGCCTTTATAAAATACTGTGATCTAGAGAGAATATCAGGGTATTCTGTGATTCTGTGAAGATCGTGAATATTTCTGAGACCAGACTGTGCCCCCTGATGGAAGCAATCCTGCAGTGGCTCTGCCCAGGCAGTTCATCTCCTGGTTTTGCTCTGGGGCTGTGTCTGCTGCTCAGCCACTTTGCATCCATACCCACACACAAACACACGTGCTGCTTGGCCTCAGGTTCCTCTCGGAATGCACCAGCTCAGAGTCACACAGTGGTCAGCTTGGAAGGGACCACAGCGGCTCATCTGCTCCAGCCTCCCTGTTCAAACAGAGCACGTGGCACAGGATTGCATCCAGATGGTTCTGGAGCATCTCCAGTGAGGGGAACCCCAAAACCTCTCTGGGCAATCTGTTCAGTGCTCGGTCACTGCACAGAAAATAAGTTCTTCCTTGTGTTCAGGTGGAACTTCCTGGGCATCCGTTCCTGTTCCCTCTTGTCCTGCTGCTCAGCGCCACCGAGCAGAGCCTGGCTCCATTCCAGCCTCTTGACATTCTCCCTTCTTTCCCTGCATGAGGATTCCTGCACACATCCATCACAGGATGGTTTGCTAAAATACCCATCTGGATGTGCATAATGCCAAGGCTGTCATCCCCTGCCCTGCCCACTCTTCTAACCCTGTCCCAAAAGACTCAACACCCTGAAACACACCTTTTTGCCATGCAATGCACGTGCCTGTGTTTCCTGCTGTAAAACACTACAGTGGGCTGCATCACAGTGATCTCTTACTCCAAACACTTCAAATCCAAAAGAACAAAACGGGATCCAGAGCCTGTAGCACCCAACAGCACGAGGAGGGGGTCAGTGCATGCAAACACTGAGCAGACTGGACAAGAACCACTCGATAACCCCCTGTGAGCAGCCAGGCAAGCAGAGAGTCGCTGTGGGCTGAAGCCTTTCAGACAGAAAGCTGCTGCTCACTTAGTGCCTGTGTTTAAAGATGCTTTAAGCTTTTCTTGTTGTTTTGACTTTTTCAGAACCTGAGGCAGGAGAGGTGTCCCCCCCAGTGGGAGCTGGTGTGAACAGCAACAGCTGGACCTTTAAATTCGGACCGGGCAATTCCAAACAAGGTGGTCCTGGTGAGTTGCCAGACAAATTCATTATCCCAGGATCTCCTGCAATCATCTCCATCCGGCAGGAGCCACCAAACAGCCAAATTGACAAAAGTGACTTCATTACCTTTGGCAAGAAAGAAGAGACCAAGAAAAAGAAGAAAAAGAAGAAGGGAAACAAGACTCAGGAGAAAAAAGAAAAGGGCAACAGCACCACTGAGAACAGTGACCAGTGAGGGAGTTATACTGAAAAAACCCTTTTAGCCAGTTTTTGTAATAATGGCAGATTTCTCCTATGTAGCAAATCCCAACTTCTTCCTACTGTTATCAAATTTCCTGTATGTACAGACTTGAGAAAATCAGCAGGAAATTCAGTGTCTGTCTAAATTGCTTAACAGGTTTTGTCTTAAAAGCTTTATTAAGTCTGGTGTTAACTCTTTTTCTCCACTCTGGCTTGTTTTCAGAATCTAAAAAGCAGACACAAGTTTCCTTTCTCCTACGCCGAAAAGGAGAATCTTCACAGTACAGCCAGTGAGAGGTTGGACTCTGCACTGTGGTTCCTGTGCTCCTGTCTTGATGACACTTGCAGGACAGGTTTAAAAGTTTTAATGTTGTGCACCCTCTATCTGATTGGAAATATTTGTGTGCAGATGTCAGCTAGGTGATATGAGATCAGATTATAAAATGCAAGAAGAGCTGGTAAATATGCAACAGAGGAAACACCTAATGAACACAAATGTGCAAAGATGTTCAGGCTGGGGAGAAAATGTCTGAAAGGAGATGAGCAGACTTGTCAAATCCTGAGAAGTCACTGTGTGGAAATACTGACTCCTATACATGACGTATTGTACACACTGCTTCAAATGAAACCTCACATTTACAGCTCTTTAAGACACCATAAATTCTATCTCTTTACCAAGCAAGCCATTGGAAAAAATTTCCCTTAAAGCCCTGCATTACCCTGGTAAGGCTAGCCCTCAGAGAGTAACAAGGGCTGGGCTGACATCCCAGGAATGTAACTGTGATGCTGTGTGTCCCTATTTCCACATTATTTTGCACATTATGTCTCTGAAAAGGTCAGAGTTTTTCCACAACACTTATGCAAAAGAGAGAAAAAAGTAACATTAACTATGCTATTTGTTATTTGAGATATTTATTTATAAAGAAATATAGCTGTAAATGTTAAAGAAATATGATGCCCTTTAACCCAAACAGAAGTCAATCTAGAGCCATTATAAATTACAATTGCTGCTATTAAAGTGCTTTAGAAAAATTGCCTGAAACATCTGTATTATATCGGCCACTTGCCAATAACAGCTTTATTCTGTCGGGTGACTTGGGGGCTGCCTCTTGCATGTATTAATGAATACAATAATATCTTCTTTTTTTTTGTTTTTTTGCATTATTCTGCACTTTGAATACACCTTTGCAAACAAACTGTCCTAATATGAAGAAGCAGATGCAAACTCCTCACACAAATGGATTTACTAACCTGCTAGCTCTGTGCAGTACCTTGGTGTTACCTCCCACATGACCTTTTCTGATTTTAGTTTTACTTTTCTATGAGATTATGAACTTCTGATCCTACTAACACTCCTTATGTAAAATTCAAGTACTGTATGTATGCTGTATGCTCTTATAAGAATCCTGAAATATTTATTCTGTGCTTGTGTATGTGAATGTCAATGCAACTATTATTAGAGTGGACTTTAAGCTTTACCGTTGAATGTAAATTCATTATTTCTTTTTTGTACACTTGTGGAAAAGTGGAGTAGTGTTAATTTTTTAAGCCACTGTTGATTATCAGTTTTTTTTGTGTATGAAACACAAGTAAACTATCTTTCTTAAACCAAGCCATGCATGCATTTTGGGATTTATTGGTAAGAATCTGTGAAGCTGAAGTTCTGTGAATTACTAAACCTAAGGGTATAAATGGAGTGATGAATGTGGTTGAGGATGTTGATTTAAAACCAATACATGTATTTTTAAATAGAATATAGCTGATGAGGGAATTCCAAGGAGTTTTCTACGTTCTTGTACAGTCACAGAATAAAGCTCAAGTGTCGTGTTAATTGGAACTGTGTAAGAAGCTACATAGCTCGAAATTTCCAAAAGCCCTTTAATCTAGGATCAAAGAGAACAACTGGATTTCTTGAGATATGTCCTGGATGTTTTAAGTTTCCAGACTGCTGACAGTTCAGAATAGAACAATTCCTATTCATTTTTAAGAACCTGCAGCAAATCTTAAAACATCACAGCAAAGCTCTAATAAAAGAATTCGTATCTCAAAGCATGAACCACCAATGGCCTCATGTGGTCTATTTAGAGTTTTCTTTTGTTACCAGTTTTGTTTTACTGGCAATAAAAAGGTGCTACTTAAGAAAGAGAATCTTTGATTCACTTTTAAAGGCTAGACAAGAGGAAAAAAACTTAAGCTTTGGGGAGGGAACTGTTCTTTTATGCAAATGTGCTATGCAAGTACATTTAGGTGTTTATTTTTATTTGGTGACTAATCCAACAGCTCCCAAAACATTCATCAACTGTAGTTACAGTGGTAGCTTAAACACACAGAAGAATACTGTTGTTATGTATTCATCATAAAATAGCTCTCTCAATGCCTCTGGCAAAAATTCAGTACAAAGATTTAATTCTTACAGGAATCTTCTACACTTGATTATTTTTAGATTTTAATTGAATATTGGTTTTTCTTTTGAGTGCTTGCATTTTCCCCTATGCAAGCCAGTCTGACTCATTCATTTTTCATCAGTGGCCATACACAGCTGGTTTTCCAAGGCTTGCATCTATAAAAATGAATGAAGACCTGCAGCATGTCTCAAATTTGCTGGTTTAAACACAAAATTACAATTACCAATGCTGCCTTTATTGCAGGTGCTTACTGCAGGGGTACTGTATGCTTGAGTGCCTTGGGAGACAAAACATAATCTGAAGATAATCATTCCAGCATGATTATCAATGATGGTAATCATTCCAGTCTGGAGAGCTGATAGAGAAAAAACTCTCAGAGGAGAGGAGGACTCTTGCTGGGTTGCACTAGGAGGATATACATCCCACACTCTCACTGTGTTTTCAGAAGACTGAATCATGCACCTCACCAGATTTTATAAAGATTTTTCTATATTTGGACCCTCTGTGACAACAGGAATGCTGAGATGTCTACAGTGAAATTTGGCTATTTCCTAACTAATATACAAATTATACCATTGACATCCTTGATTTTGGGTGTCCAGGAGGAGAAACCCTTGGCAAGAAGTATGGTTGGAGAACCAGGGGTAGGTGGGGGCAGAACCTGCACATTCCACCACAGTTTTGGGGTTACTCTTTTAACACCACACAACAATGGAAATTGAGAACCAGAGGTGGGCAATAACAGCACAAATTAAGGAAAAAAAAATTCCTTAATCCTCCTGCTGACAATGAAATGAGCAGGACAAAATACACTGCAAGTTTGCTAACAAGGAAATTACAGTTTTGGGGCTTTTTACCACTTGAACAATTTATGTTTTTCAGAATCCATATATAATCTCTGTGAGCATATTGTCTTTGGAAGTCTTTGGAAGTCTGGTTTCTATGCATACAAGATCAGTGATGAAAACTACTGGGCTTTTATAACAATAAACCTGAGCTATGTTGTATATCAATTACATCCTGTCATTAAAAAATATCTCATTTTACATTAGGCTTCTAAGACTTGGTCTTGTGCAGTTTCTTTCTGCTCAGTCCATGGTTCATTGCACATCACATGAGGGGACCTGATTAAAACTTTTCCAACCATCTCACACCAGGGGAAGAACACAGAACCTAAAATGCCTTTCCCAAATTTCGTATATGAAGATCAGTCATAAAATTGATTGCAGGTAGTTTTGATAGCTTTTAGCATCTTCTTTCATTTCTGCTTCTACTTCACTCATTCAAGACCTGCTTGTGTCAACAACTGGGTATAATAAACCAGGTACAATTTTCCTTCCAAATCAAATTCTTCCCTAGCAGCAGTTTTGTGGATATTGTGTAAGACAAATATTAAGGAAGGAGCTGAGCCATTTTCCTCATTTGAGTCCTAAAGAAGAGCAGGGTCCTCAGTTTTGCTGTTATATGATTGCTTAGAAACTACTGACTGTTCCACTACAAAAACACCTTTTTAAGGCAGTTCCAAGAGCCCTGTGTTCTGTTAAGGCTCCTGTAAATATGCAGAAATATCACTTGAATCAAAAGTTTGGCTTTGGTAAGTGAGTGTACCCTGAAGTCCTTTGGTTTGCTCCTTTACAAGTCTCTGAAGGAGAAAAGAGTGAACAGCTGACAATGTTTTGGTGTCACACACAGCTGAATCTGCATGAAGCAAATAGCTGCTCTGGAAAGCAGAGCTGAGGGCTCCAAGCACAGCAATAATAAATCCTGGATGGGAAGGGCTTCATGTGGTGGCTGGAATTGGAATTAGGCTCACACAGCTGGCTTGGCTGCACCAGAACTGAACAGACAGAGGATGCAGAGCACAGCTCTGACAGAATAAATGCTTTATCACATTGGACTGACCTTGTGCAGCTTTAACCAGCATGCTATGGAATCAATATCGATAGCATATACATTAATTTTCCATTAGCTCTGGATGTGGGGATGCTGTGCTCTCTGCTCTCCTGGGTTCATTCTCCTCTCTGTGGATCCCCAGAGGGATCCCTGCAGGATCCAGTGTCACTGCTCTGCCTTTGCAGGGTGGGGGATGTGTGCATCCAAGCATTTACAGAGAAAAATAAACCTGTCCTGGGCTCATCCCTGGGTGTGGCCACCGAGGGAGGGGATCCTGCCCCTGTGCTCAGGTGAGAGCCCACCTGCAGAGCTGCCCCAGCCCTGGCCCAGCACAGGGAGGAGCTGCAGCTGCTGGAGCCAGGCCAGAGGAGGCTCCAGGATGGGTAGAGGGATGGAGCAGCTCTGCTGGCAGGAAAGGCTGGGAGAGCTGGGATTGTTCACCTGGAGAAGAAAAGCTTTGGAGGGACCTTAACTCTGGCCTTCCAGGACCTGAAGGGAGCTGGCAAAAAAGATGGAGAGAGACAATTTACATGGGCCTGGAGTGACAGGACAAGGGAAATGGCTTCAAACTAAGAGATTGTCAGTTTAGATTATATGTTAGAGAAAAATCTTTCCCTGTGAGGGTGGGGAGGCCCTGGCACAGGCTGGATGGCAATCTGGTCTAGTGGAATGTGTCCCTGCCCATAACAGAAGGGTGGAACTAGATCATATGTAAGGTCCCTTCCAACCCAAACCATTCTATGATTGTTTATATAAAAACCTGGGACATGGTTATGTTGTTGTACAGAAAACTCCAATACCCACTGTCAGTGATAATACTGCTTAGGTATCAGGAAAATCCAATTTTTCAGAGTGATTCTAATATGGTGACATTAGGCACCTATTTCTAGAGTATTTGTAGTCCAAGTGCCTTAGACTGGCTTAGAGAACTAATGAATGAAATCCTTCAGCATGAAGTACCACAGAATTATCTCTGCCACATGAGAAGAACATATCTTACACTGCACCATGGATTCCCTTTCATATCCCAGGACAGCCTCCATGAAATCCCTCTGACACAGGTATTAACATCAAAAGATGACAGAGATGTGGTGAAGTAAACATCTCTCAGAATGCCACACAGCTTGAAAATATTAAAAATGTTTGCCTGGCAGTGGTGCCCAGAGCTGTGTCACTGTTGTCTGCAAAGAGACAGCAAGTGACTCATCCACATTTAGGAACTGATGTCTGAAGCATATTACAAAACAGACACGCTAGGCTTGAAAACCAGATTTTAAAACCTTGACAGAGGGTCAGAAATACTAAGCTGGCCTTCACACCAAATAGAGCAGCCTAAGTCCGTGTCACTGCCACTCCTCAGCTCCCTTGTTGCTTCACTGTGGTGAGGGGACCTGTGGGAAGCAGGAATCCTGAAGAAAAAAAATCCCATTTATGCTGCCAGGTGGGGAATGTTCTCCTCCAGGCCCACCATGGCAGCAGGCACAGAAATGGGGTGTGGGCACAGCTGTGGGGCACAGCTGTGGGGCACAGCGTTGGGTGAAGAGTGACCATGGTGCCATCCCAGCAGGAGTCATGCCTAAACCTGAGCCAAGTGTGAGACCCTGAAGGGCTCCCTGGAGCTCAGCAGTGGGTGCTGCATCACTGTGGGTGTTATATGTGATCCCAGGCTTCATCACTGAGGTGGGGGAACAGAGCTGGCCCTGGCAGCCCCGTTCCAGCTCCTTTGGCAATATTTTATGGACACCTCGAGTGTCTTGGCACCACTTGAGCTGCACTGAGGAGAATTAGAAAGCCCTTGCCCATTAATTACAGGAATGTTGCTGCACAACCAGGCTGACAAGATGTAGTAATTGTTAAAACACATCAATCACAGCCAGCCTATACTTTTAATCCTGCAATAGTTTTCCTGTTAGATAAATCCTTCAGCTTTTCAGTGGCTCAAATTCCATTTAGTGCATACTCAGTGGGAGCAATGTGTGTGGTTCTAGGGGAAGCTAGACTGAAAATATCCTAAGCAAGCCCCCAGTGTGTCTTAGCCCGCATCAAGGGAGTCATGAATCTCCCCCTACCTTGAAGAACTTCCTTCTGTGGGTGTTTAAAGAATCCTGCCTGCATCCCTTCAGGTGTGGAGTGATGTGCTGAGCAATTGCAAATGAAATCCACTCTGTAAGTTGGCATTTAAGCCCTTCCATACATTCTAAATTCTACATCAAATTATCTACACTGTTCAAGGCTTTACTGGCTGATGACCAACTTCCTCATCATCACCTGTGGTGCAAACAGCCTCAGTGAGGACCCAGGATCTTGCTCCATG